ATGAAGCACACTAATATTCACATTATAGGGGTCTCAGAAAGAGAAGAGAGAAAGGACCTGAGAAAAAATTTGGAGAGTTAACTGAAAATGTCTCCAACTTGAGAAAGGACACAGTCACCCAAGTCCAGGAAGCGCAGAGAGTTCCATACAAGATCAACCCAAAAAGGAACACTCTGAAGCACATAGTCATCATGTTGACAAAAACTAAGGATAAGGAGAAAATATTAAAATTAGCAAGAGAAAAGCAACAAATAACATACAAGGGAACTCCTATAAGGTTATCAGCTGATTTTTCAGTAGAAACTCTATAGGCCAGAAGGGACTGGAAAGATATATTTAAAGTGATGAAAGGGAAAAACCTACAACCAAGAATACTCTATCCAGCAAAGCTCTCGTTCAGATTTGATGGAGAAATCAAGAGCTTAACAGATAAACAAAAGCTAAAAGAATTCAGCACCACCAAACGAGCTTTACAACAAATGTTAAAGGAACTTCTCCAGTCATCAAACCAGATGAAAAGAGAACAAAAAGAAGAAAAAAGAAAGAAAGAAAAAGACCTACAAAAGATTGCTTTGTCAGTTCGGGGTCTTTTATAGTTCCATATAAATTTTGGAATTCTTTGTTCTAGTTCTGTGAAAATGTGAGTACTGTGACACGGGTTGCATTGGATCTGTAGATTGCTTTGAGTAGTACAGCCATTTTCATGATGTTGATTCTTCCAACCCAAGAGCACAAGATATCTTTCTATTTCTTTGTATTATCTTCAATTTACTTCATCAATGTTTTACAGTTTTCAGAGTACATAGATAACCTCCTTGGTTAAGTTTATTTCTAGGTATTTTGTTGTTTTTGATGCAATGGAAATGTTACTGTCAGTTATAAAATTCTGGTTTTTGAAGTGGAAAAAAAAGTGAATGAAGGGCTGCAAATGGCAAAATATCCTTCTTTCTTATGGGTGAGCTGTATTCCATTACATACATATGCTGCATATTCTTTATCCATTCATCTATTGATGCACACTTAGGATGCTTCCATATCTTGGCAATTATAAATAATGTTGCTGTTAATAGTGGGGTGTATATATCTTTTCGAATTAATTCTTATTTTATGGTTGGCTTTATTTCCTTTGGTAGCTATGTAAGTTTAAAAAGCTAAAGCTCTAAATGTTCTTAGAAACAATGAATAGTGCACGTACGTAAATTTAAAAAAATATGTGCAGTATGTTGTATATATGTATACATGCAATATATTGCATATGCACAGTCAAACTGTAACAATTCTATCTAGTAAAACTGAAAAATGAAAAAAAAAGAAATGTGCAGAAAAGGTAAATTTATAGAAAATCTACAGGAAGCAGAATAGTGGTTGCCTGAGGCAACTGAAAGGGTATGACTGTGAATGGACATGAGATTTCTTTTTAGAGTGATAGAAAGGTTCTAAAATTTGATTATTGTGATGACTGTACAATTCTAAGTTTTCTAAAATTTCACTAAATTGTATAGTTAAAATAAATTTTATATTATAAAATTATACTTTAATAACATGTTAAAAACTGCAAACATACATACACACACACAACACAAACACACACACACACAGGGAAAGTCAGGAACCTGGAAAAAAAATTTTATATTTGAAAATGTGGTAATTTAGATATTCTTCATGAATGGCAATGATTTTTACTTAGTTATTAAATTTTTTATATAAACCCCAAAGTACTACATTGTGAAAATCAGAACATTCAAATAAAATACTCTCTCAAGCTCATTCACAGAAATATTAGTATGAATAAATGGAAAAGTGTTTTTTTTTAATTGAATTATAGCTGATTTATAATATTGTTAGTTTCAGTGATTCAATTACATATATACATTTTTTCAGATTATTTTCCATTATATGTTGTTACAAGATATTGAATATTGTTCCCTGTGCTATACAGTAAATTCTTTTTGCTTATCTATTTTATGTATTGTAGTTTATATCTGTTAATCCTATACTCCTTATTTATCCCCCCCCCCTTTCCCCTTTAGTAAGTGTAAGTTTGTTTTCTACATCTTTGAGTCTGTTTTGTATAAAGATTCATTTATAAGGAAAAGGGTTTCGGACTCAGGATTCATCATCATCCTACCTTGTCACTTAGAAGTGGTCGATTCATAGGACTAATTCCTTTTCGAATTCCAGTTGCTTTCCTAGCTGCAAGGCCAGTGATAACTCCATAAGGACGTCTCTTTCCAGGCATCACTCTTCCTCTACGGCTCAGATTATTCTTACCAAAACCTGTAGGAGAGGGAAAAAAAAAAGAAGAAAAAGTAATCTAAGAATACAAGTGAGTGGCACAGGGGTCACAGGATATTCTATTTCTAAGCAAGGTGAAAGATATGAGTGCTTTACTTTTTTATTTATTATTTATATATTTCTCATATTACTATTAATATACGTTTCTTTAAAATTACATAAAATATTTCATCTTTAAAGAGACAACAAGCTGTACTGGAAAGAATTCTGTTGCTATAATGGACTGCAAAAGACTAGAGGATTCTCACATTTCCCCACTAGCTATCCTCTCTCTGGCATTATTTTCTCAACAAACACGACAGCCTCAACTTTCCTTGTGCAATGTGGTAGCCTCAAACCAAATGTGGTTACTGAGTACTTGACGTATGACTAGTCTGAACTGAGATATAATAAAAGAATGTATAATACTTCATTAATAGTTTTATATTAATCATAAGTTACAATATTTTAGATATATATGGTCAAATAAAAAATATTATTAATACATGGCTCACATTTTATTTGTTGGATGGCACTGATCTAGAGTGGAATCACTACCTCATCTCTTATTTACTATCTGGCTTCTTTATTTTCAGTCATACTGTATTCAAACTGCTTCTGCAAGTCCCCAGGTAAGTTCCAATAGATACTATATTTTAATCTCTATAGTATGTGACATTTCCGACTTTGCTTTTCCATCATGTATCTTATCTATTTAAATACTTTGTTCTAACTATGAAAAAGTAAACATATTCATTGAAAAATCTTAAAACCATATAAAATACAAATAAGAAAATAAAAGCCACCACCATTAGCCCACTGCCTAGAGATAACTACTACTAATAATCTATGTTTTTCTAGTCTTTTACTTGTATACATACATTTCAAGTTAACACTTTTAGTTTCAAGTGTTTTTAAGCAATTCAAGACTACTATATGAGGTAATTGACAATTTTGTAGTACCAAGTGCCTAGAAGGTAAATTGAGTCAATCTTCTAGCAACCACATTTCATACTCCACATACTACCTTGTAGTCTACATTAACACTATATTATGAAAATTAATCCCATGTCTTTTATACTCATACTAGTCACTTAAATTACTCCTAATGTTACATACTATAAATAACATTACAATAACACTACAGTTAACATTTTCATGACTATTTCCTCAATATATAAATTTCCAAAGGTTGAAATGCTGTATCAAAGATTAAAGCAAATCCTTATGGATTTTGATTCATATTATAAAAATTCCTTCCAGAATGAATATATTTATTTATATTTCCAGAAACATAAGGGTGACACTCTTTCCATATCATTGACTACTCTGAATGTTATCCTGTTTAATCTTTATCACTTAGCATTTGGGGAAAAAACGTGTCTTATTTGGTAGCATACTAGTGAGAATGAACATTTTACATGTGTTTTTTGGCTGTCTGTATTATTCCATTCACAAACTGTCATGTTCATAAATCAGTTTTCTAGGGTCAAATTCTAATTACCTTTGATGCTTTGATAGAAGAATTATTTCAAATTTATAATTAATTTTTCAAGAATTAATATCTTTATAATTTTCAGGAATATGTTTTATCTTTCCACTTATTCAAGTCTTCTTTTGTGACAAATTTGGCTTAGTAAAGTTTCAAGCTTTTCCTCCCATAGGTCTTGCACAGTTCTTGTTAAGCTTATTACTAGGTATTTTATACATTTGTTGTCAATCACAAAAAGATCCCTTACCTATTAATAATTTTCATATTGGCATTCCTGGGAATATAGAAGGCTATGGGGTTTTAATTGACATCTTTTAATTGGCCATCCCCTTGAATTCACTTATTAGTTCTAACATTTTTTCAAATTATTTTCTTGGGATTTCTGAATGACAGTCATATTACTCACGAATGATGTTTTCTTCCTTCCAACAATTACACCTCAAATTCTTTTATTTCTTAATGCAATGGCCAGAAATTCCAAAGAACTATGCTAAGTAATAACTGTGATACTAGGCATTCTTATCTTAATTCTAATTTTGGCGGTAATGTCTTTAGAATGGTATCTTGCATACTATACACCTGCAATATTGTAATACATCTTTCAACTTATTTCACAAACTACATGAAGTTAAAATAGTTTTCTTTATTGTAGAATTTCTCAGGACCAATGTGTGCGATGACTCTCATAAGACACAGATAATTATGTATATGTCATTCTCAAGTTTATCTACTTCCAGAACGCTTTAGTGTGGTGTATCCACTTTGAGACCAGAATTCAACATGACAATCAGGAATACCTATAAACATTACCATGGTTGAACCATTTACCAGTTTATTGTCTTTCAGTTCCCAATTCACTCTTTACTGCCCGGCTTCTGTTGCTGGAACATTTCTCTTACCAGCTGGCATGATGTTAAGCTTTGTCAGCAGAGGGCGCTGGAGGGACTCTAGAAGAAGAAGGAGCTTTTCTTCCAGGTTCCAGTGTGCACCTCAAGGCTTGTTCCTGTGGCATAGGATACCCAGTGGCACTCATTATCCCTCCCCCGCCAGCTGAGACTATGGTGAGGCAAGAGAGGCGCCTAGGGCACAAAATCTGAGAGTGAGTGACGCCTTAAATGTTAGGCCCTAGGCATCTATGTAGATCCAGTCCTAGGCATCACTCTAATTCTGGCCCTGCTCATTCTCCAATGAATTTAAGCTCCATCATCCTTACAGATCACTTTCCAGTGAGTTCCACCAGCATGGCAATTCAGTGTGGCAGGGAGTTCTTCCAGATTTGTTCCTTTCTTGGGTGCTCTGCCTCAGTACTAAAGGTACTGATTTTATTACTTTTATAATTAGGAAAAAAGCAATAAAGGTATACTTTTATAAAATGTTAAAATCAAATTACTGCTGCTCTATGTTTGATTTCCTTCTAGAACAGCAACCAAACAAAGATTAAGCCTATTAGAGAAACTTGTATATTTAAATTAAATCTACAACTACTTGCTATTTTGAGTTATATTAAATGAAGCAGCTACCATTAACTGAACTAGGCATTGTGCTGAGTACCTTAATTTAAATGAGAACTTGATGAAGTTGATGCTAATATATCCATTTTGAAAAAGTGAGCAAAACAGATGTAGAACTATGATTACCCAGAGGTCAGTTAGTAAATGGCAGAGCCATGATCTATGGTGCAAGTTTGTGTGGCTCCAAAAACTGAACATGTTTCCAAACTGTTATATATAAAAAGCTAAAGAATAATAAAAGGCAGAATATAATGTATGGTACATTTCCAAAGAGAAAAAAAAAACTATTACAGAAAAAGCAGGTTCTGAGCTAGTTATTACACAATGGACAAACTGTGAATAGGAAGATAGACAAAGTGACAAGTACAAAGAAATGGGCAACCACAGATATTGAGAGACAGTCTAGGGAAAAGGATAAGAAGTGAATGGACGTGGTGGGTGCAAATCACAGCGCTGTTAAGTGTGGATAAAGACTACACTTGACAAGGAATGGGGTGGAGTAAGTGTGGATAAAGACTACACTTGACAAGGAATGGGGTGGAGGTCACAGAATTCATGATCAGACTACATCAGTCTAGAAGCAGTACCTTCTAATGAATGAAAGAAGAGAGAAGGTAGTGAGACCATTTCAGATGCAACTGCAACACTCAGCATAAGAGACTGGGTGAGGAACAAAGAATTTACAAAAAATATGAATGAATCAGTAGAGCTAAGAGAAAGTTTAAAAAGAGGAAGAATCAACTATTATACTAAAATTTTAATCTTATATGAGAAAGACTCATGAAAAAAATCTAACAAGAATAAAGCTGGTTAAAAGGAGAAAAGTATGGGATAGAATTCTATTCCTGGGTCCCTTCTATTTCTGACTGTTATAGACATTCCCATAGTCATCACCCTTTCTCCCATATTCTTCTTCCTTTCTTGTCAGTGGCTTCTTCTCCTCTATCTTCTAGCAAGCCTGGATTATCCGTTCTTCCTCCCTCCTTTTCTATCTTTGAACAAACTTCACTAACTATATCTCAGTTTTAGCAATGGTTCTATTTTTTACCCTTTCATTGCCATGTTTCATGCAATAGTCTTTTCTTAGTTTTCACCCATTTAACCCCTTAAAAAGTTCTCTTCTGTTTTTCCAGAGTACCTTCATTCTCATTACTTCAACTACTACCTCTATGAAGATCTTTCATTTTCACCTCCACTGGAGCAGCAGTTTAACACAATAGCTATGTATCAAAAGCACATATGGAGCTAAAAAAAAAAATCCCTAGGCCTTATTTCTACAGATTCTGGTTTAGTAGCAATGGAGTGCAGCCAGCGCATCAGACTAATTTATAAAGCTCCACTAATTTATAAAGCTCTAGGCATTGTGCTGAGTACCTTAATTTAAATGAGAACTTGATGAAGCTGATGCTAATATCTCCATTTTGAAAAAGTGAGCAAAGTGAGATGTAGAACAATGATTACCCAGAGGTCAGTTAGTAAATGGCAGAGCCATGATCTAAGGCTAAAGTTTCCTCTGAATCCTTAGCCCAATCCCTTCATGAATTTCTTTCACAAACATATCCACTTGCCTCAGTACTTTCTATAGCCTGATCACTTACATGAAGATTTGAGGGATTTTCTGGAAAATGTATCACAGAGTGTATGTAATCATGTTACTGGCTCCTTCTCAAAATAGCCCACATATACTCTCGTCTCTTCTACCTCTAAAAGAAATAGCATTCTCAAACTTTTTGGTCTCAGGTCTTCTTTATACTCTTAAAAATTACTGAGGACCCCAAAGAGTTTTTGCTTCTGTGAGTTTATGTTTATTGATATTTACCATACTACAAACAAAAACTATGACATTTAAAAACTATTTGTTATTTTATTAAAACAATAAACTCACCAGATATAGGGCTAATAACATATTTTTTAACAAAAAATAACTATTATTTTCCCTAAACAAACAAAAATATTTAATAGGAAGAGTAGCACTGTTTCACATTTTTGCAAATCTCTTTAGTGTTTGGCTTAATAAAAGATAAGATTCTCATTTCTGCTTCTGTATCCAAACTGTTTGAATTATCACACGTCATGTAGACTTCAGAAAAGTTCATTATACATTCATGAGAGAATAAGGCTGAAAACACAATTAATATATCTTAGTATTATTATAGAAATAGTTTTGAACTTGTGGACCCCTTGAATCTTAGGGATTCCCCGGGGTCTCTGGACAACACTTTGAGAACTATTGTTGTATAGTATTCCATCCCTGGAGAACATCTAGGTTGTGCAAGTATTTACTGAGTGAAAAACTATATTTCAGGCACAGAATTTGGAAGACTTTATTCACTTATTTGCTCAGCCATCAAAAAGAATTTATTGAGTATATGCCAAAGGCTCTCTGTGCTATTCGTTCTCTTACCTCAAGCTAACATCCTCAGTGACATTACAATGTAGAAATCTGAATTATTCCTAACCAGAGCTTAAGACAATCCCATATCTCTCTGCACATTTAGTCACAGCAGCAGCTGTTCTATTTTAGGCCGTCACATGTAAATGGAGAACATACAAGTATAAATTCAATCTCAGAAGATCCTAAACTGCCCCGAGGTATCAGTTAGCTCAAGGCTCAGATTATAATTCCCGAAAAAGGAAAGCTTTTTTGATTCAGATTCTATTTCATCTTATCCATTAAATCACCACTGATGTTGTTAGCATAAAATCCCTATCTAAAATCTGACAGTACTAAAAGTATTTCTCTTTTGACACTTCTCAACTCTATGTTTTCTATCTTATCTCTATTCCTAGAAATTCCATGAAGTATGAGACTACATCTTTACATATCCTGAGAACCTGGTCAGTTCAGAGCATTCACTGGGTATTTAACACGCAATTAAAATAAATAAATAAAATTATTTCAAAACAAATCATATGTAAATTATGGTACACTGAATAACATTTATAAGGAAACTTTTAAGTATAAATCACTAGAATTAAATATTAATTTTCTATAGCTAAATACCTGTCACAAAATTTACTCACTTGAGTTCAGCTATTCAAGAAATTATTAGGGAGGAATAAAAATTCTTGTAGCATTTAATTTTAATTATAGACATATTTTGAGGATATGTTGGTATATTAACTGCTAAACATAGAATTAATTGAATTAATTATGTTCAATCACTTGGAGATTATTTTTTATGTTCTTTAACATACAGGATAAAAATCAGCTTAGGAATTAGTTTATCAAACATTTTTTCATATATATAAAAAAGATCTAGAATTTTTTAAATCTCAACAAAGATTTATTTAAAAATGCTGATGTAACTGCTAAAAAAGTTAATAAGTCATATATAATTAATAGTGTTCAGTTACTGCCCTAAGTCCATTTTGGAAGAAGATGTTCTAAATAAATAAGCTTCTAGATTACCAAAAATAACTGTATATGTAGAGTTCCAATTCTGTGTCATCTTCGGAGGATTTAAAAATTTCAAAGGTCCTGGATGATAAGATGAATAACCTAGAACTCATTTTCTATGCAGAATAATAGCTTCCACATATTTAAAATGTTTTCATACAGAAAAGGGAGTTTGCTTTCTATAACTCTGTAGAATTAACAGAAAGGCAAGATTTAAGTCAAGAGAATTGTCTAGTGAACAGTGCTGTCTCCAATAATGGAAAAAGTTACCTTGTGAGGTGGTATACTCTTTCATCAAATATATTTAAACTGGAATTACAGTCACTTATCAGACAGATTGTTAAATGAACATGTAACTAAGAAGGAGATAAGATTTCATGATACGTAAGATTCTTTACAAATCTATAGCCCAGAGGTTACTTTAAAATGACCTGATGTTTCTAAGAAAGTGTTATCATCTATTTAAGTTAACTTGAATTTTTAGCAGATTTTAAGATTAAACAAAACCCTGAGTAAATACAAATCACAAACAAAGGGTACTGGTATGTTTCCTCCACGTTTTAAGTATGTATCAAAGTTAGTATACTATGAACCTACAAGTAATAGCTTTTTATTAAAACTTACTTGCAAAACTTACCAGAATTCTGTTGAAGTCCCCATCGGACTCTCATCCTGAATTGCCGGGCACCACTTTGCTGGAGTCTTCTATTTAGCCTCGGGAAATTCTGCTTCTTTCCTTCCTTTCGATTCAACTTGATGATATCATCTGTGATAGAGGAAATGTAATGATTATTTTCATTTTAATTCAATGACTCAATTACTCAGTCTTGTTTTCTAGTTAATAGATTTCCTATGCCCCTAACTCCTTTTCTATTTTGAAAGCACTTCCATAAGAGGATAATAATTAAAAGTATATAAAAAGCTCAAATCAGCCAAAACACTTGCAGCACTGAAGAAAGTTTTGAAGGAAAAGTTCAAATCAATAGCTCAAAGCAGATCAACCAATTAATGAAGATTTCTGTTATCCCTGATAAATGTAAATAAGCAAAAGCCTGCTTACAAAAATTACTCATATTTACTTTCCATAATCACAGAAGTTTCCACTTTTTAAAGATGACCCTTTCAATAAAACCACTGGCAGTCAAAAAATAAGTCATTCAATAAAAGATTAGATTTCTAAGTTCATCTCAATTCAGCAAATATTTATTGAGTATATACTATGTGCAATGAATATATGTGTCAGGCTGTACTGTAACAGAAACAAAAGTAAAATATGATTCCTGCTCTCAGTAAGTTTAAAATTAGTGACGGAAACAGACATGTAAATAGTAAATACAAAATTAAACAAATACCATCATAAAGGTATAGTACCAAAAACAAATAAACTATTGGTTAGTTCTCCGCTCCTCTAGCAAAGCAAGTCAGGGTTACCTTATTTTTCTTTCCACATTGATCTCTAAGTCCCATTATTTCCAAAAACATTTCAAACTGCCCCAAGGTAATTTACAAACATCACCCTGCTGTAATAGCACAACAGAACAGTGTAAAGATCAGGAAACAAAATGTACTCCAGATTCCTGTATACATCTGTTAAAAGGAGGTTACTAAAAGACAAAAATACTCATTTAAGAAGATTTCTCCAAATTCCCAACTCCAATATTAATTTTGGTAATTGAAAATACAACAAATAAACCAAAGAAACTGAAAGCGATCAACAACTTAATAAAATTCACAAAACTAACTAACCTGTTATTTCTTCCAAACTGCTATAAATACAAATAATCTAACAACTATATCAATATAACTAGTCTTTTTTGAAGTCAAAGAAGGAAATATAAACTACAGGGATCTTTTTTATACATTACATATTACTACTCTACCTCACCTATCTGTAATCTTTAAGACTCTTAATCACATTCAAACAAATATTGTATAAAATAATTCAAATCTCCCCAAAATAGTTTGTTCTTTGATCTTTCTTTGATCTTCCTAAGGAACAATCCTTCAACTACAAAAAAGCTCATCAAAGTTAAGACACTCAAAAAACATTTTTTACAAAATAGAGATTTCATAAATATCAGTTGCATGAACATCTTAAATTACCAGTGAGCAGAAAGGGAATAGTTAGAAAGACACTACTTTTGAAACACTACTTTCCTTTAACAAGGTGCTACTTGAAATCTCAGAGACATGACAGTATCTCTTAAAAATGAATTTGGTTTGGAGACCACCAAAAAAGGGGGGGTGGGCGGGGCACAAGTATAATTTTGACTAACCAGGTTGTTTTAAAACTAGAGCACTATAGAGTATAAACATAATTAAAAATTAAAAGTAGCAAAGCATATAAAATATAAAATTATGTTTTGTAAACATTTTATTATTTAACTCAAGTTAAATAGAGCTATTATGACAGGATTCTTCCAATCTAAAAGAAGGAAATGGCTTTTTCCTAAACAAGGAGTAAATAGGGTAGGCATCAAAAGAAAAAAATCTACTGAAGGAAAAGAAAGAAGCTGGAGGAATAACTATCCCAGACTTCAGACAAAATTACAGAGCCACAGTAATCAAGACAGCATGGTACTGGTACAAAAACAGACATATAGATGAATGGAACAGAACAGGGAGCCCAGAAATGAACCCACAAACTTCTGGTCAACTAATCTTCGACAAAGGAGGCAATAATATACAATGG